GGTACCCGAGTAGAGCAGCGAAAAGGACATCTACCCCGTCGCCAGGACGTGCTAAGAAGTAAGAATTAAAACAAGTTGATTAATAATTAAGTATTGAAAAAAAATTTTAAGGAATTTGAAAAAAGAAAATTAATAAAATCATAAACTTTTGCAAACGAAAATAATTAAAGTAAATTTTAAAGAGAAATTTAACAATATATTTGAAGAATTTTTTTTTTTCTCGCAATCTACACATGAAAATATTCAAAAAAATTTTATAATATAAGAGTGAGAAGTGAAAAAGGAAAAGGAGAACATTTTCGAACTGCAATCAATTCATTTCAGATTAAAACTTTGTTGAAGTTTACTTACCCTAAATAATATCTAAATAATATCGGGCTTGTACAGCCAATAACTGATACAAATCGAAAGCTGCGATTCACCACCTTCGGGGGACCCTCCAGCTTATAAAAAAAAAATCTCTGCGATTCACCACCCAAGGGACCCTCCAGAGAATTTTAAACTACAAAAAAAAAATAACTAAGGCTTGTACAGCCAATAACTGATAAAAATCTAAAGCTTCGGGGGGACCCTCCAGCTTATAACAACAGTCCAACTCTGCGATTCACCACCAAAGGGACACTCCAGAGGATAAGGACACATTAATAAAATAAATAAAAATTAGTTATGGCAAATCCTAATAACCTCGTCCGACCCCCATTGCTAAATACGACTCCCACAGCCCCTTCCCAACCAGTTACCCATAACCCTAACGAAATTAATATGGAACAACTAACGAATATAATAACTGGCGTGGTGACTAATATATTAAGACAAGAAGGACGAAACCTAGTGCAAGCCGCCCTCAACCCCAATGCAAATTTTACAAGTATTACGGACGTGACCTTAGACTCGACCCTAGCGAAGGAACTAGACAAAATTCCGGACGTTGTAAGATGCCTACGGGAATTCTCAGGCAATCCGGGAGAGTTTAACTCCTGGAAAAAAAGCGTAGATAGAATATTGCAGATCTACGAGCCACAAAAAGGAACGCCAAAATATTATGGCATCCTTAATGTTATACGAAATAAAATCGTGGGCAACGCCGATATTTCCCTAGAATCTTATAATACACCGCTGGATTGGAAGGCTATTTCGAGATGCCTTACCCTCCACTACGCAGATAAACGAGATTTGGGAACTCTAGAGTACCAGATGACCGCATTAGTGCAGGGCAACCTCACTATTCAAGAATTTTACCAAAGGGTGTATTCACACCTGTCACTTATTCTCAACAAACTCGGATGTATGGAAGTAGGTACAGAATCCATGCATTTGCTTACACGGACCTACCGGGACAAAGCCCTCGACACCTTTATTCGAGGACTAAACGGTGACTTGCCGAGACTTCTTGGCATGAGAGAACCGGTAGATCTTCCTCAGGCTCTCCACTTATGCTTAAAACTGGAGAACCAAAACTTCCGTTCAAACTACGCGCTGAATAATAATGGCCAAGTTAAGAAAACCCAAGATCTTCCACCCAGAAAAATAAGTAATGAATTCTACCCACAACTGGCGTACATTCCAAGACCATACGTGCCTCCATATAATTTTATGGCTCACCAACGCCCACAACCTACTCTTAATTACCGTAATTCGCCAAATTATAGGCCTCCGGCTCAACCCCCCGCTAAGACGCAACTTCCACGTCCAGAGCCAATGGATGTCGACCGCTCCTTGCATTCAAAAGCGGTCAACTACATGAATAGGCCACCACTTAATAACCAGGCCGGGAAAAGACCATCCAACTTTTCCCAACAAGTGCCTCTGAAGCAACAGAGGAACTTCCACATTGAGGCAGGTACTCAAGAAGACCAATACTATTTACAGGACCAACAAGACCAATATTATCCGCAAGATCAACAGGATTGGTATCCAACAGCGGAAGAGTATGAAGCAGAAATTGCCAAAGAAGAAGGTGGACAATCAGTTCAGGAATACGCTGAACAAAATCCATCACAAGACGTTCAAGACCATATCGATATTCATCTTTTAGAATGAACAGTTCTTCGTTGCCGTATGTAGAGTGCAGAACGAAGAACGGAAAAATTCTGAAAATGCTCATCGATACCGGTTCGAGCAAAAATTACATCCAACCCTGCCTCGTGTCAAAAAGAATTCCCAATGACCAACCATTTTTTGCTAATTCCATAGCCGGACAGATACAAATTACCCACCACACAGTTATTAATCTATTCGGCAGAAAGGACACGAATTTAAAACTCTTTTTGCTCCCCACCCTAAAATCCTTTAACGGCATAATTGGAAACGATAGTCTTAAAGAGCTTCGTGCCACCATAAACATCCACGACGACTCCCTCACATTTGGCAATGGCACAAAAATAAAAATTAAACAACAACCTTCACCATCGGTTAAAAAAATTGACGTAAGGACCGACCACATGACAGAAACGCAAAAACGACATATTTACCGTCTCACAAACAAATATCCGCACCTATTTACCGAACCAGATGAGAAACTCACCTACACCACTACTGTAGTAGGGGAAATTAGAACCTCTTCAGACACTCCAGTATACACCAAATATTATCCTTACCCCCTAGCAATGAGAGACTTTGTGAAACAAGAAATAGAAAATCTATTAAAGGATGGAATTATTAGGCCATCCCGTTCCCCCTACAACTCGCCCGTGTGGGTTGTACCTAAGAAGTTAGACGCGTCTGGACAAAAAAAATACAGACTCGTAATTGATTATAGGAAATTAAACACCCTAACAATAGCCGATAAATACCCAATCCCGGAAATCAACGAGGTGATCTCGCATCTGGGAAACAACACATATTTTTCTGTTCTTGATGTAAAGAGTGGCTTCCATCAGATTCCTCTGAAGGAATCCGACATTGAGAAGACAGCTTTCATTGTATCACAAACAGGCATAAAAACTAATCCCACTAAAGTAAAAGCAATTCAAGAATTTCCATGTCCAAAAACACTAAAGGACTTGAGGGCTTTTCTTGGTCTATCAGGCTATTATCGACGCTTTTTCAGAGATTACGCCAAGTTAGCGAAACCTCTGACATCGCTTTTGAGAGGGGAAGATGGACGCGTGTCCAAAAATTCCTCAAGCAAAAAGCTAGTAGTGCTCGATAAAAACGCCTTAGAGGCGTATTTCGGACTTCTAATAATTTGTGCCACAATCACAACCTCCCTAACGGACGTTAAAATTTTGGACTATAACAAAGCGCAACTGGTGACAATAGACAATGGACAAGCGAAAATACAAGAGGCACATTCAGACTTATTCATCTCATCGACTTAGCAAAATACGAACGATTTTTGACAGAGACCTATAACGATATAGCCAACCAAATCCCTAATGACCACTTCCTATATCCTATCCTAAAACATTAAACCACCCAAATTGATATATTGGGAACGGCATGGAAGTACTTAGCCGGATCTCCTGATCATGAAGATTTAAATATAATAACAAACAACTTAAATAGCTTAAATGAGAACAACAATAATCAAATAGTAATTAACCAGTTATTCGAGAAACGCATAAATAACATAACTTATATAGTAAACAAAATGTTAAACACGATAAGGAAGGACGACAATGTTCTAACGGAAATTTTAATAAATTTGCAAAATAGAATCAGGCTAATTAAGGAAGAGCTAATTAATATAAGGTATGCCGTTCAATGGGCAAAGCATAATATAATAAATTCAGTAATGTTAAGCAAGGAAGAAGTAGAATTGTCAATTAGTAAAAGAGAAGATGAAGTACCATTTAAAAGTGCCGAAGAAGCATTAGAACTGTCAAAAGTAAATGTATTTAGCCAAGATATGAAGATTGTATACATGGTAAAAATACCTCTAACATTAAAAGAAACATTTAGAAGAATTATTATACGACCTGTAAAAAGGATTAACAATATTGTAATTAAAACTGAGTATAATGAAATATTGAAAGGAATTGTTTGGAATAAAAAATAAATGCGAAAGCTATAATGATGTAACCATTTGCAAGGAAACTCATTTGGTAGATTTAAGTAAAGATTTATGTGTAACTAGGATAATTAATAGTTTAAACTCAACATGTTCGACAATCAACGGCCATCACGTCCCTACGCTAGAAGAAATAAAACCAGGAGTAATATTGCTAAACCAGTTCAACGGCAAACTAGAAGCCAACGAGACATCCCAAGAAGTAAACGGAACGCACGTGATAATATTCTACAATTTAACAATTAAAATCAACAGTCAAACATTCAGCAATATTGAAATAAAGCCAATCGAAACCATCCCTGCAATACTACAGCCAATCCCGTTGGAAAAGGACCACATAGAACTACTTTCCCTAGAAGCCTTGAAGGACCTGCATATCAACAATACCCATCGAATAAATTCCCTCAAAAAGGCAACCTTCTCTGTCGGAAGTCTAACTACGGCAGCATTCTTAATAATCATAGTACTTCTTCTTTTTTTCTTAAGGAAACGATCCGTGAAAATCCAATATGTGGGAAAAGAAATAGTGAAGCCCAGCACAAGCCTGGAAGTCAATCAGTCAAGCGAAACAAACCACATTCCAACATACGTAAATCTCAACAACTTACCATTCTACTAATGATCGAGGACGATCATATTTAATGGGGGAAGAGTTAACGCAACAGTTTACAACAGCTCTGCAGAATTGACTTCTACCAACGGTCAGAAACTCCACACGCGCATCCGCACAATTGCTGACACCGCATTAACCAATTTGTTATTCGATCAGCAATAATAATTGGCACAACAACGATTGGGCAATATTCGGAAATAGTGCATATGCAAGTGCAACGTGACTGATGGCCGATAGTAGGTTTAATTTAATGTTAAGAAACCAATTGTATTCAGTTCTAAGTTTAGACTCAATTAATAAAGACGTGGGGACGCGAGTCCCTACACTTTTTTAAAAATGCGTTATTTAATAAAATAACTTAACTTATACAAATGTAGGAAATACTGTAAGCGTCTTCTTAGGTAGGCTAAGTACGGGTATAGTTTAGGGATGCAAATTTTGGGGAGTAACATCGATACATCGATGTTTCGATGCATCGGAAAAATTAATATCGATGCTAAAATACATCGCCAGAAAACATCGATATATCGATGGTTTCCGATGTTTCAAAAGTTGTTAGGTTGTAGTCACATTAAAAGGAAAATTTCATACTTTTCAATTCAGACTCTCTGTAATTCAATTAGAAACATGCTTACATATGGATGTATTTCCCTGTATTTATTTACCACTCGTTTACCCTTCTTATAAATAGAATAGAAATGCATGCCGTCGTAAGTTCGATGAGCCTAAAGTTCCAGGGCCCAATTTCGGTGAAATTTCAACGGAATCCCGGTCCTTGTTTAATGACTAAGTAAGCATTTTAATATCGAAAGATAAGAGTAAACTCGGAATTTCTGAATGCTCCTCAAAAGAATAAGTAATAAAATTCATGGCCAGTCAACAAATTTTGGGAGCATAAGTCGATGTGAAAACATCGCTGAAACTGGCATCGATGTATCGTCAATTTAGCGATTTTAGGAAATTGTAAACATCGATGGCAAACATCGAATTTTGAACCGATATTATCGATGTTTCAAAAATATCGAGGCATCGTTTGCATCCCTAGCATATTGGTAACTATCCAGCGCACGATATCATTGCATTCACACTGAATGCGTATATACATGTATAATTATGTATGTACAAGAAAACAAAGAAACCAGCAAAATTAAAAAGATTTCTTATTTATTTAATTATGTATTGCGTGCAGGCAGTGTTGCCAGGTCTTCGGCATGAGAAAACGTCCCTCTTGGTCTGAAAAAACGTCATTTTCTACCCAAAAACGTCTTTTTCAAATGTATGCACAAAGAATTGTTCTTATTAAACTTTCATTGTATACAAAGGTACATATGTGCGTAAGGTATATTAAAATGTCATTTGCTCACATTTAAAATTTATTCTAAACTGGTTTGAGATCGTTAACATAAAAATCATTTTATACATACACTTGTGATCAGCTCATTAAGTCATCGATTTCGGCTGTTTCTTTTTTGTTTATTTAATGTTTATTATTTCTCCATAAAAGCCTAGCTCATTATATAACAAACAAAATATAAATCCACATTTCAAACTTTGTGCAAAAATTATAAAAAGTTGGCAAAATATCAGCTTGATTTTCAACTTTTTATTCAGATTTTTTAGATTTTTTTTGAGTATGCAGGTTGATAGCCCATTAAGTTCCAGGGCATAGTTTTAAGGTGCTAAATAATCGCGTTGATTTTTAATATATATATTTTTTTCTTCTTGTAAACATTTAGTTAAGTGGTCTGTTGTCGAAAATGCTAAATTACGTTCTGTTAAGAAGGAACATAGCAATATTTCAACCTTTTTACGTTCATTACATTTTCAATAAGGGGCCCCATGCGACTAATTGTGTAATTTTCTTTATGCGCTTAAATAAGGGTTAAGTCATCTGTGTCGAAAGAATAAATATATTTGAAGCAGGTGCTGCAAAACACAAAGCTTGCAAAGATTTATTAAGAAAATAATTCAAAATCAGTTCTACTTACAAGATTTAGTAACAGAGAAAAATTACTGGGAAGTTAAAAAACGTCATTTCTTACACAAAAAACGTCCAAACGTCAACAGAATATAAAAAACGTCTAAATGACGTTAAAAACGGCAACCTGGCAACGCTGCGTGCAGGGAAGTCAACTCGCGGGAAATTCCCCCGATTTGCAGGGAATTTCTGTTTAGGTGACATCGTGGAATGGAAAGTTTTTAGCGGGAAATTGGGTATGTTACGTTTATAACTTAAAGTAACCAAATTAGACGAATATGTTATCTTTTAACCATTTTTCGCTATTTTGAGCGAAATTTTTTCAGTTTGAATCGTAATATCTCCACAACAAGAGTCTTCCCAGATATAAGCCAAGTGATATACACCAAATGTAAGCTAAAGCTTTGGGCTAGACTTGAGGAAAGTTTGAATAAAATCGACTGACCAGTTTTTGAGAAAATTTTCGAAATATATATTTTCAGCAGTCCGATTTTTAGGCGATAACGTTATGACATATTTATATTTCATAAACGCAAAAGACAGCGTTAGATAGCTTGTTTTAAAACGCTTCTACTGATACGCGCATGTGGTAGTTAAAAAAACTGCCTTTTTTCGAATTTCAGGCACCAGCCTCGCCCGCAAAGGCATACGAATCGAAACATCCTGAAACAAAACTTTCCTAGTTTTTTTGGTACTTTAATTCCTGAAAATTTGAAAAAAAATAAATAAAAGTACGTACAGACTAGGGGGGTTTCGAATGTCATATTTTTCACATTCGCGAATGCGAACTAGGGCTTAACCTATAAAGTGTTTTAATCTAGTAGTCAAAGTTCAAAAGGGGCATATTATATTAAAAAAAAAAATTATAGTTTAAAAAACTAAAACCTCCCTATTATAATTGCCATTCGTACTGTCATCAGGTATGTAACTTGAGAATAGAAATCGCTGCATCTTTTAGGTAAAAAAAGAAACAATTTCGCTGCCTTTTCTCCCATGAGGCGCTTTCTTGGAGGCTCGTATGTAAGGCCGGCTGCACTGAACAATTGCTCACTTGGAACGCTGGCGGGTGGAGTGCTCAAATACTACGTGCCAGATCTGCCAATTTGTCGTATTTTAGTAAAGTTTTCCACCAATCGAGAGAATTTTTACCGAGATGAGCTTCTTTTTCTTTAAGAGAAGCCTTTAATTGACCTTTACCGCCCTATTCCCACAACACTGACAAAATTCATCATATGACTATTGTCACAATTACTGCGCCTAAAACACAATATAAACATTGTTTCGCCGTTGTCACTTACTCAGTAGGTCATAACAATAAAACTGACAATTGTCATATGACAGCTTAAAATAAATTTGCGCCATAGTATTAGGCGCAGTAATAAAGGCAATAGTCAGCCGCTGAATTTTGTCAGTGGTGTGGGAATAGGGCAGTTAATTTCACGAGGCAGCACTTTCGTTATCACAAAGGACATAGAATATAAGTGAGCCATAACCATAGCCAGCATCCTTATCAATAATATAATTTATGAAACTATAAAAAATAATACTAATACCCTCAAAAAAATCGTGGATGTGAAAAACATAAGCTGTAGCTCGAGTGGCGAAAATAGAAATAGGGAAGAGACGTTTTAAGAGCTAGATTCGGATGTCCGATCGGATATCCGGTAGAGTGCAGCTCTTTATAAAATTCAGAATATTGTTATATGTATTACGTTTATTTGTTTAGCGGCATACCAGTTTATCCGCTTTTTGATCTGATCGTAATACGTAATTAAGAATAAAAAATTTCTCCCCTGAAATCCCAGTTAGAAAATAATCATGTATTAAACAGAAAACTTTTCGTATGCAACCCTGACCTATCGATTATTTTGAAGTAGAATACGTCTTACGTTTCGATATGGAGGCTATGCTCAAATGTTCTAGTTGTAATTTTTAGAGCTTTACGAAAACGTTTATTGCACGAGAACTAATGAAGCGATTTGAAAGAAAAGTATGGCGTTTCAAAGATATAATTCCAAACCTATCGACCGATTCATTTGGAAGTAACCAATTCGGTTTCAGTCGTAGAAACAACGGTAAATATTGGCTTATTTTGAACCTTTAAAGTGCTCTAGCAACTTACGATTTGCAGGTTATACTTTCATTTTCGGGATATAGGTTCTTTGGAGCAATAGAAATATTATCGTGTACAAATTGTATATAAGTTCAACAAATATTGAGCATTTCAAGGCAAAAAATTGTTGAAAAAATCAGCATATTTTTTTTATTACCAAAATGGTCGAAAACCGCTCGAATGATTTTGTTTTTGTTTTATTTAATCTAAAATTCAAGTCTTTTCCTTTTGTTTGGTGTATGGGAAGTATAGTTACGGTGACCATCCGTCCTTTATTTTAAAGGACAGTCCTTTATTTTAACCCCCTGTCCTTTATAATTTTTTTAAAAATAAAGGACGCCTTTTGTCCTTTATTTCTTAAACTGTCCTTTAAATCGGCTCTGCATTTTTCAGAACGCGGAATTTTTTTAAACGCGGAATATGAAAAATAAAAATGTCCTTTATAAAATATAATGAAAACCTTCACCAGTTTGTTTCGCACCCCTCTTAAGGGTTTCTATTTAATCAGTTATCTTTATTCAATCTATAAAGCACAGGGAAAGTTGTGCCCAGGACCGTGTTGTACGCTGAGTTTCCAGTTCCATTGAAAGAGAACAATAAACCCCCTGCTGCACAGTGGTTTAAAACTAGCATTTAGTGTTCGTAATTCACTGGAGCCGCAATTTGTCACTTCCTTTGGATAATGTTTATTTTTTTTTTTATGAAAGCTTACAATATTTGCAAAAGAGCCTGATTTATGTATTTTTATTTGATTACATTAAATTGTTTTGTGCAAAATGCACAAAAAGTAGCAATTTTGAAGAAAATGTATTCTCCTGTTCCAGTAAATAAATGTTACAAAACAAAAACTAGTTGAAAACAAAAAGAAAAATACAAAAAAAAGTTTTAAATGTTATAAAAAAATGGGCACCAAAATTATTTTTTTTGTTTTGCTTTTTAGTTAAAAATTGGTTGAAAAATTAAGGCTCCGGTGCATTAAGAACATTAAATTCCAATTTTGAACCACTGTGTGCTGGCTTCGTCGTACAGTATGAATTATGGTAAACACATTTTGGTAGCAAAGGATGGCGAAGTCCTTGAAAAGGATTTGACTTAATTTTTCGCTGTAGCAGGGAACTTGTACAATTAAATAATATAATTAACTGGTAAATATTTGATTTAAATTACGACATGGGTAAGGCACTCTTATCATACAAGTTGCATGTACGTATTCCCATTTTGAGAAAAAGCCCTTTATTTTACGTTGGTTAATATGGTCACCGTAAGTATAGTTGATATCTTCTAAGTGTGTTTATTTTATTCAAATATATGAGCATAAATGATTTTCTATTCAAAATCACTTCGTCATCCTTTTGCAAACACGTGCATGCGCTGGAAGTGAGAGAAGGAGGCAAAAAGTATCTGTGTGTAGATATTTCGGCTTTTGAATAACAGATGGCGCATTATTTAGAAAGGGCAAAGGTGAAGGGGAATATGCAGAAGAAGAATATGATGAACATAAAAGTAAAAACAAAGATAAATATAAAGAAAAATATGAGGATGAGGATACCGATAACAGTAAAGATGAAGATATCGAGCCCTAACGGCCAAAATAGCGTAAGCGACATTTTTTTTCAAAATTTTCTTTTGGATGCAGAAATATTCCTAGAGCATCTAGATGCATTTCTGCATCAAAAAGAAAATATTGAAAATAATGTCGCTTACGTTATTTTGGCGGTTAGGGCTCGATATTATTATAGAGAAAAGAATATAGACAGAGACTTAGTCTCGTGACTATTTCGGGATTTTAGGGATTCTCGGAATTCTCAGGACTTATCGATATAATAATCGATATTTTATCGGTTTTTTATCCATATTTTTATCAATTTTGTTATCGAAATTTTTATCAATATTGTTATTAATTTTGCTATCGATATTTTCAGAACTTATCGACATAATAAACGATATTTTTATCGATTTTGTTATCGATACTTTAATTGGTTTTTTTTTATCAATTTTGTAATCGATTTTGTTATAGACATTTTTATTGATTTTTTTATCGATCT